GTTCTTAATGTATGGCAGGGGGGGGTGAAATTTAGGGGGGATGGGAAAATTTTTATCAGAAAAATGGGGGGGATGCACAATTTTTGGAAGAAGCTACAAGCCTTGCTTAGGGGGGCCGAATTGTTTTGCATGATTTTAAGGGGGTGTTGAAAACTATGAAAACTCTTGCCGGCTTAAAAATGGCTCATCAATCTATATTTTTTGAAGGGGGAAAAAAAAATTAAAGCAAATATTGATTTTACAGTAATTACGAGATTAGTCTGGCTAAGAATGGCATGTTTAATTTCCAGTGACACTTATTCCAAAGTTAGCGTCATCATCACCTTTCCAGTATTTTTGCAGCGAAAACAAGATAAATGACAAGCATTATTTTTTACTTTTGTACTTGTTCGTTTCGCACACTCTGGACTACATATTCTCACCACTCGAAGATAAACTTCAAATCTTCGCGCCACTAATATAATATCCTCTATTTATTTCAATTTTATCATGATTGCATAGAATGCCAATGAAGCATTCTTCCATACTTTTTGAGAAAAGGTTGRTCAATTACTCAGGAAACATTGCATCAAAAATCTAGAACTCAGAGCAAAAAATCTTGAATTTGGAAATATTTCAACAGTCAAGTGTTAGATGACAATCGACTTATTTATATTCTATGCATGTTTATGGTTCTATATTAAAACTCTCTGAAGAACCCGACTGCTTCCCCATATTTGCACCAGTCCTAACATGGAATGGTTGCAACACATGCATTATGAGAAACAACCTCATCAATGTCGTGCTGAAACCCCAAAACCTCCCAACATTTTTCTTTCAATCGTCTAGTACGTAGACCGTAGATTATCGGGTTGAGCAAAGCACTGAAACATATAATGGTTTCAATCCATTGCTGCAAAGTTCGCCATACTGAACTATCTTTGAAAATAACCTCAGATCGCTGGCTTAATTGTATTACGAAAAAAATAGGAGAAAAAGAAAGTAAAAAGCAGCCGAGAAGAAGAGCAGCTGTTATTGCTCCTTTGTGGCTTCGCTGGGTGTGGGGATTATTCATGTTGGTATTTTGCTGTTGTTGATCAATTTGTCGTTTTTGTCTTCTTATGGCAGCAAAGATTTTAGCATACCAGTAAACCATGCAGACAAAAATAACAAACTTAAGGATGGTACCTACGATACCAATATACAAACACATATCCAAAATATACGTTATAAAGGATAGCAAAAATATCATAGTGTTAACGGTCCAAAGTCCGATTGTAGCATATGTGAGTCTCTTGACTGTGATTCGTGTTGAGTATTGGAAAGGATGAATGATGGCCACGTATCTTTCGTATAATATACCTAAAAGTTGGTAAAACTCCACTCCTTTTAGAAGACCCATAGCTAAAAAAAATGCTATTCCTAAACCACAGTGGACTTTATTGGTCTCGAACTGAAGTATTTCCTTGGCGATGAACAAAAGTTGGCAAGTCAGTCCAATAAGAAAGTCAGTCAAGGCTAAATAAGCGAGGACTATCACACGCTCAACCTGAAGAGATGGATTCTTCCAAACAACGAAAATGATTAGAGCGTTGAGAAACAAAGTCATAGGCATTGTCAAGACGTTCAGCGTTATGGTCAAGATTGTTGATACTTTGGCTGCTTCGGAAGACGAGTGCCAATATATTGAACTAGGTATCTTCATATTACATTGTGCAAGTGTGTTCTTGTTTGTATCTCTAGATGTAAAATTCGTATTTGAGTACATATTTCTAGAATTCAAGCAGTTGGATTGAATTTGAAACAACCTCTCAACGTCTCGTCCTTAAAAGCCTGCTAAGTTCTTCAGATGGTTTAACCTTTAAAAGCAGTAACGTTCTGTAAAAGAAGAAAAGAAAAACAAAAAATTTTCCATTATTGAAGCTTTTGTTTCTTTTGAAAAGCCCTCAGTCGTGAGTGAGCCCATTTCCTGCTCTATCTTTTGTGAAGAACTTGAAAAGTGGTTCCAAAACTGCCTCATTGTTCATTGTTTCGATATTTCATTATATTAAAAAATGACAATAATAAAATTATGGATAAATGATTATGAATGAAATACAATTTGAGTGGATTTTTACTATTTAATGCGATTAATAAGAATTCTTACCAATGGTGTTATTTTTACATGTGAAGATATTATGTGGAAATAGGGATTTTACCTTCTTCTGCCGCTGCGCTAACTTAAGACATCACCACAACACTTGGAGATGGAATCCTTATCTCCAGGTGGCCATGTAATATTCTATTCACGTTTTCTTCAGAAAAAGCAGTCATATATATTTATAACTTAGTGCGATTTTGAGCTACCAATATGGGTTTTAATTTTTAGTAAAATAAAGAGGTGATTATTGAAAATCTCGCGCGATGATTGGTCGAGTCACACGATAATCACCTCCAGCGATAATCCAAAATGGCGGCCAGCCGCTTTGTTGCTGTTGCCGGAGAGGAATTAGAAATAATGAAAGAAAATGCTATCCCCAAAAGGACTAAAGAGGCTAACAAATTTGCACTAACTTTGTTCAAAGGTAAAAAAGACTTAAAACAATTAAATAAGCTCAAACAAACTGTTTTGATTTGCAAAGTCGGAGTTCGCCTGTGTTGTAATTGAAATCCGCGTTTGTCACTTCAATTAAAATTTTTCCTAATTTCAAATGTATCTTTCATCTTCTGTTTTTTCTTTTTTTGAAAGAATCACCTGTGTATTTATACTAAAACAATTATTTGCCTCAACCTCAGTGAATATCGGAGAATATTTACCTCGGCGCTCGAAGACTCGCGTCTCAGTAAATATTCCCCGATATTCACTTCGCATTCGGAGAATAATTGTTAAATATTGACGGCTATAGTTGGGTGAAAATATATTCCGTATTAGCCGTAGTAGCGAAGCGACGAATCTTATTACTAGAACCATCTACATGTATTCTTTTCTTTACATACTTTATATTTTACATTCTAGTGCTTTGGAAATCAGTTTCTCGCCATGTGCCCCGCTTGAGCACATTTTTGAGTTTACAAAAGCGAAGTAAGCTATTTTTTTCTAAAAAGGTATATTATGATTGTATTTAAAATTTTCGGCATGGGATTAAATTTTTCATTCTACTTTGTAACACAAATTCTCGAAAGGATAACTGATTCTACAATTTCTTTGTCATTCAAACAATTTGTATAGTATAAATCACATTTTCTTCGAACGAAAACAAATTTTGTACATATTTTTCACTCACCTATAGAAGACATATAGCTTGTCAGTAATTGTCAGTAATTCCTCTTATACTTCTACCACCAGAGCTTTATAAAAGTCGTGATAGATATATATTGATTGGAAAAGAAAATTCTAGATTCAGAATGACGGAATACTCGCATGCATACCATTCACGTAATCTTTAATCAATTGTCATCTTATGGTAATTATAGTATTTAGTGTGGGTCGAATGATCTGGTTGAATGAGTTAGCCGTGCCCTGACTTAGATCAGCCCAGAGGTTGTTTCAGGGTTTGATCTGTGACTTAGCCGTACCCTGAATTAGATCAGCCCAGAGGTTGTTTCAGGGTTCAATCTGTTAGTTAGCCGTGCCCTGCCTTACAGTAGATCAACCCAGACGTTGTTTCAGGCTTCTAACATTAAAAGTGATACATACTCTGTTATAAGATTATGATATATATATATATATATATATATATATTTCAAAATTATAGGAAATCTCGTACCCAGAGCCTTGATTATTTGTTACTACGCATGCTCGACGAAATAAATTGGCTCTGGAATACTCCAGTATTTCCTACCTTGTGACTGGTTCTCTAGAAATCAAAGTAAGTAACAATTTTTCCGATTCCAAACACAAATATTTCCTCGAGTATGCGCAGTAAGAAATAAAGGCTCTTACAAGATAGAATTATAGGCATTTTGTAGTATACAGTACACAGCAACGAGCCAGCGATTTTTACCCACAACTACCGACTTTGCTCTTTAGCTCTGTCAACACGGCTATGAAAATGCTTAACAGCATTTGATGTAATCGTCAACGTTTGTTGACAATATGATTAAATGACTCTATAAGTACTCGTAAATGACGTATATAAAGTGAATTCGGATATATTAAATTCTCAAGTATAAGAACTTAGATCTTAAGAACCTTTTAGGCTAAGATTTTCCATTTAGACCCCCTTCAATTAAGAACCTGTTTTAGTTTAGTTTATTTGTCACAATATAAACATATACATTTTATAAAACTTGAGACATACAAATTTTGTGACTGGCGAAGAAAACAGAACTTTCGTCCCAATTGATATTCCCTCTCCCTACAATTTACATACAGTAAAAACATGATTATCATTGAGATTGACGAGGAAAAAACAATAATGAAAAGAAAATGAGGTTCATAGGATCATAGGAGGTTGATGGACCAAAATTTATCAAAATTCAAATTTAAAAGATTTTAAGGTGGTAAGTAATGTATGCTAAGATTTCAAAGCAGGTTCTTATTTTATCAAATAGAGTCAAAATTAAAAAAATATAAATCAAAGAAAATATAAGATCCACAAAGATTTTACACACACAGTAAGCTGTAAATTACATACAGTATAGCTTCAAAGTGCGTATAGGGTTTGTTATTTGCTTACATTGCCCTATTTCACTATGACGTCACTGCTTGTTTATGTGGGGGATAGAATCGCCAAATCCAATAGAAAATTCAACAAAATTAGCTCCTTAGCGAAACAGTTTAATCTAAAATGCTGGTTTTCACATATTATATGTGTTAATATAGACTAAAAATATTCTGAGCGTTTGCTGGCTATTCTACTTCTCTTCGTTGATTGATACGGGTTTTAGAACAATTTTCGGTGCATTTGCGTTGATTTGACCCCCTCCAACGACCATGATCCTTTGTGTTTAAACAATAGATTGTTTTGATGTGACGTCATAGTGAAATAGGACAATTGCAGTCATTTTAGGCTAACTTGGAAAAAACTATTGATGGTTTTTACGGCGGCCATGTTGGAGGAACTTAACAAAAGAATTATCAATGAATTCTTTTGTTATATCCTCCAACATGGCCGCCGTGTCTTTTGTTATTTAATTCTCTTGGGAATGGTTGAAAACCATCAATACATATTAGGTTCATACGCGGGTTTTTTGCCGTATCACACTTTACATGCTAATAATGTCTGCTAATATTCCAATGAGATATGCGGAGCAGACCTAAGGAAATCCTATATTTTAGTTAGCTTTAGTAACCGTAAATATCTTAAAATTACAATCAGGATTAACACTATCAATTATTTTTTGTGTTGGTCTCTAAGTTAATCAATGAAAAGAGCTAGACGTTTTGACCGCCATTTACCAATCAGGGCCATAACCAGAACTTTTACGAGGAGGGTGCACATCGAATAAAATCGGATCATTGATCGTTTTTTTTATTACCAACTCAGTGGCGTAACTAGGGATCTTGCAGGGAGGTGCACAGGCAATAATTTGCAGAACCAAAAAGAAAAAAAAGGTAACCAAAAGAAAGCAGAACCCCCTCCCCCAAAAAAGGAAGTGGATGAGCGGGCCTTAAGCTTTTATGGGGGGGG